GAGAGAGAGAGAGAGAGAGAGAGAGAGAGAGAGAGAGAGAGAGAGAGAGAGAGAGAGGGCTGCAACAGGGAAATCATGCTTCCTAGATCCCACAATATGATAATGTTTAATGGGGGGGGCTGGAGCACATTCCCTGTGGTGGAACATATTGGGTAGGAAAAAACCACTGGAGATAAGTCGTCTCTCAGGTTTCCAGGCCCTAAGCTATATCTATGTCAGCCTTAACTCAGTCTGCTTTCCTTGATCAGTTGGGGTAGGAGGAAGGAAGCCATTCCATTTCTGTAATTTCTTCCTTGTCACTGTGTCCTCCTTTTCTCTCCTTGTGACACTCACAGGAGACAAAAGCTCTCTCTAGATTTCTATTTGCAATTTGCTCTCCTAATCTAAATGACCTTCTTGCAGACACGATAGGTGCACAGCAGCCATGGCAAAGTGTCACAAGATGGAATGACCTCCCACTGATTCATCCATTCCAAAAGGGGGAAAAACATTTACAGGAAGGAATTACTCTCTTTGGACTGGTTGGCTATATCGCCATCACTTTCCCCATTACATTTACAGGCACTTACATAAAAAAATGTGGTATATAGAGATACATAAATGGGATGGGGGAGGAATATTTAAATTGGAGCTAGGGGAACTGAGGATTTAGAGGATTACACACATTTTCACCCCTCAGTTCCTTATCCCTATCCTCCTTGCAAATGTTGAAAAACAAAACAAGAAATTAAAACGTGAAGAATGGGATTCATAGAGGACGGAAAACTCACCATTATTCTCTTAATTCCCCCACCAACTTTCTTTGTCCATAAGACAGCTCCTTCTTATGTAAAACTTCTGTTTTCCTTATTTTGATCAAAATTAATAGTGCTGTCACCATGAAAGGTGAGGGAACCCAGTGGAAATCACCTCTTTAAAAAAAGTTTTTGAGAAAAGCAAAGGACAGATAAAAGTTTTGCCATTTTCTTTCCCACCTACAAAATCATTAAGGGCCATTTCTTCTAGGCGATGGGAAGAAGAAGGGGACTGAATCGTTGTGCTATTTTTCATCCTCCTTACCACTTGCTGCATAACACACAGTATCCCTTTACATACATTGCACACAGCCAAAACAACCCTTGCCAGGGGCTGCACCGCAGAAAAGACAGAAAGGAGAAGAGGCAGAGAGGCCTGAGCTGGAAGATGATCCTGCCTCCCTGCCATCTTAAAGGTCATCAAGGGCCGTCTAATTCTGCCGCTCGGCCAAACCCCAGATCTCCCCTTTGCCCTGCAGGCTCTTCCAGAGGAAGGCGATCGAGCCAGTCCGTGGTCTTTGCAATCCACGCCAGCCCGATCGGGTATCCCTAATCGCCTCCATAATATGCTTCGCGCCGCCAACATGAAAAAGGACACGGCTTATATTAAAAAAAAGCCCACCAAGTGTCAATGGCTCCTGCTCGAGCGGCTCCCTCTTAAACCTTAAGGTCAGGTTCGCTTACATTTGCACCCAGCCCGGCTCTTCGCAAACGAGCCATCTACGCCACATTTTGGAGGAGAATTTCCAAGCGTGCAGGTGGCTTTGAACGCGCCGGGCTAAGCCCCTCGATCCGGAAAGCTCGGCCCTTCCTTCATAACCTGACAGCCTTCCAGGAGCGCCTCCTTACCCAAGAAACTATCCGGAGGATCGTGTGAGGTTGCCGGATGAAGGTCTGGGGGTCAAAGGCGCCTCCGGCTTTGCCAGCTCCGTACGCGGCCGGTTCCATCCTCGGAGCAGCCCGCTGGCAAGACCTGCCGAGCTGCCTTTCGCTCCGAGCTTATTCCCTCAAAGTTTACCGCGCCAGGGACGGAGGCTCACGGAGAGGACAGAGACCAGGCTGCGCCGTCCAGCATCCGAGAGCGCAACCCGCAGACAGGAGGCAGCGGTGTCAGCGGAGGGGACGGTGAAGCCGTGTGCGATGTCGGGAGGTCCTGCCCGGCGGCCCCGCCCTCGCTTCTTGCTCCCGGCCTTACTGGCCCCGCTGAACGGAGAAACTCGCGGGCGACAATTAAGGCCGGGGTGGGAAAGCCACCTTACAAGACAGTACACAGGGTTGGCAAAGGCAGCCAGGCGCGCTCCCGATCCGCAGCAGTCGAAAGGGCGGCCGCGAGTCCTAATGACGGCAGGCGCTTACGTGCACCCTCCATCCTAGCAACTTGGAGGGCGGGGGGTGGGAAGGGCGCTGCGGAGCTCCGCTTCCCTCGGCCGTGAAGGCCTTTCCAGGGAATGCGGTCTTCTTTAACGAGGCGGTTTCGGATTCGGAGCCCTATTTTAGGAACGGACTGCAGTCCTCCGAAACACATAGTTTACGTAACCCAGTGAACGCAGCTGTTTTTTTTTTCTGGATAGAAGGGAATAGGTCTGTGCTGGTCTTCGTTAAGATGACAATTAAACATGCTCATATCTTACCAAAACAAGATGTAAAGGCCTCCTGGGTTAAATGGAACTTTCTTACTTTTTCCTTGGGTTCCATTTTTATAGCAATTGGCTTGTGGGAGAACTTAGGAGAACCCGAAAGGATGCCTTTTGTATCACTTTAGTTATTCCTAATTTTGGAAGAAATGTCCTTCTGGGTTCGGCTCCAAGTGGGGAAAAAGACACTGGAGACATGGAGGCTGCTTGGAAAGATAATTTTAATGGTGGACAGGACCACATGGCTTGAGTCCTGAACAGAAAAGGTGATCACATGCTTCAATGTTGGTAGAGAAGGGAAGGGCAGAAGAGAAGCTGAGTCCCTGGTTTTATGCCCTTTCTGGCTTTTGATCTTGAGCTTGTATTNCATCCTTCCGAGGTGGGTGAAATGAGGACCCAGACTGTGGGGGCAATATGCTGACTCTGTAAATTGCTTAGAGAGGGCTGAAAGCCCTATGAAGCAGTATATAAGTCTAACTGCTATTGCTATTGCTAAATATATTATTGTTAATTGGTACTGGATATCTGTCTTGCATATACGTTGTGTGTACATTCCTTTCTTTCCCCATACTTCATCCCAGTTTAAACACCAATTTAGCCAGAAAATGGCTAAATGATATGTAGTTCGTGAAAGTTTGTGCTCATTAATAAAAGATATCTGAAAAGGGACTACCAGATAACTCCTGATTTTTTGGCTGCTATAGACTAACTTGCCTGTCTTCCTACAGTATCTAAACCAGGTTAAAAGGAACTTGTTCCTTGGTTTATGGAGGTTCTCAGTCATCCACCTCACGGTTGTCTCGTAGCTGCTTCTTTTCAAGAGGTAACTGGACTTTCTGGTTTTTCTTTGAAGATGTTTTGCTTCACATCCAAGAAGTTTTATGGATAAGAATCGAAACGACTTCAAAGAAAATCCATAAAGTCCAGTTGCCTCCTGAAAAAGCATCGTTGTTTGTTCTCCATCCTGATTACTGCTATAACCAACTGAACTAGATATCAAATCCAGTTAAAATTTATCCGAAAGACAAAATACATATTTTTTTAATTTCCTCTTTTTATAAGATAGAGTAAAAAGGAAATGAAAGCTGGGTTATAGTAAGGCAGGGTTGAATATGCTTCCCTTTTCAATTTGGGAGTCAGCAAGTGCATACAAAGGAAGGGTGGAAACATATTTCTTGGAAATTTTTTTTTAGAGCTATTAATGTACTCAGTCTCATGGTGCTCCATCAGCATTTTGCTTATGTTTTCTGCTTTCCATTTTTCCCCTTGAATTAACCTCTTATAGGCAGTCCTCGTAGATTATGTGGCTAAAAACCAATCAAAATCCCAATCATGTTTGGCTAGGTCAGTGGTGGGTTTCAAAAATTGTTCAAACCTACTCTGTGGGTGTGGCCTCCTTTGTGGGAGTGGCTTGCTGGGCATGGCAGGGGA